GGGGTGGTGGTGGTGGTGGTGGTGGTGGTGATGGTACAACACTCTGGCAGTCCAGAACCCGTGCAGGACCAGTCAGCCTCCCAGAAGACGAGGAGGAGGAGGCTTGTTTTCAGCCACAAGTTAAAACTTTATTTTGAAGGTCATTCAGATCAATTCCTACCCAGCAAGGAGATCTTAAACCAAAGGTTTAATTCCTTGGGAGGGGAGAAAAGCAGGAGACAGCCTGGCTCCCTCTAATGATCGATCTGGCTCTGCTTCTGGTTTGCATCAACAGGAGGAAAAGCGGAAGAGCCGAGGAGGGTCGGAGACTGACTTCCCTTTTGACAAGCGCAGGTTGCACATTCTACCTAGAGAATGCCTGCTTGGCTGTTCCTGGGCAGTTCTCCTTCCAGGCATTCAAACAGAAACCGGAATTAAACCAAGAGTTTAAAGGAACCAAGAGATTAAAGACAAAATTCAAATTCAGTCTGGAAAACTTCAACCTATTCGTGCAGGACAGGGCTAAGTAGCAAACCAACTGAGAGGGCTCCCCTCTTGCCAAAGCAGCACTCGGAGGAGAGAAAGTGAATTAGCTGGAAGAAGAAGAAAGTATTAAGGATCCCCCGTGAAGAAAAGCACTTTAAAAGGCAACCAATTCATTCACTGGCATATTAAGCTGCTCTCAGAAAATATGGGAAATTAATCCCACGGGGTGTTTCGCTTCCTCAGTACGGGCCCAGGTGAGAGACAGCCTAGTGGGGGGGGGGTTCTTACACAAACTCTCCTGGTTGCGATTTAACCCTCGGTTGCTGAAGTTTTATTTCTATCCTCTTTTTCCTTCTGCTGCATCCCACATCCCAGGAGTGGCCTTGGCAGAAGCCCATCCCTCCCTCAAGCACACGGCACACCTGAGCAGCTCCTTTCGTGTAGTTGTATACACGAAGAGAGGAAGAGGAGAGTTATTTGAGCTAACTGCCCATCCTCTCGACTCTTCTCCCACCCACCCACCCACCCACCCGGTGGAAAGGCTGCTCCCAGGCCTCTCATCCTGCCAGTCGGTGAAACTCTGCCTATCTTGCAGGCCTGCTTGGGGCGCTTTGCCCACGTCCCATCCTCCTCAGCCTGCTTGCTTCTGAGTAAGCTACTTGAGTTCAAGGACGCACGTCCAGTTTACTACTTGATTATGATCTGCACAAACAAAGGGAAGTTGGTGTGTGTTGTTGTTAAGACAAGCTTTTCCTTCAGAGTCGAAAGAATAAATGGAAGCTGCGCCATATAAACCAGATCCACAGACTGGCCTGTGTACATCTTCTATTTCGATATACATCTGATTTTAATAATATTCCCCTTTTTCGTTTTATTGCCCAACTCTAATCAGAACTTCAGTTAATATTTATATTTTCACACAATGATCCAAAACCTCACAAAACGCAACACAAAAGCAGCTGTGAGAAATGCTAAGAACAGTAATTTTTAAAGAAATAGGCAAAATACATGTTTATTGAAATTGACTTTGTACTGATTAAATGCACTTCACTTGCAACAGTTCTCAATTGCTAACTTGAATTCTTCCCAGCAGAGCTCACAGGCCCTCCCTCGACTTCCCCCCCCCCCACCACATGAAACGCTCATTAAGGGGAAGGCTGATTGGGACAGATCTTCTTCTTTTTTTAAAAAAATAAAACAACTGTTTGGGTTTTATGAATGTTTACTTAAAAGTAAGTTCCATCCGCAAGTTATGAGATTACTTTTGGGTGCCTGGATCCTTTGGGGGGTGGGGGGGAGTGCAACTTTCGTCCAGTGGGGGGCTGGATTTCACTTTTGAAAGCTAAAATGTTGGGGTGCTGGAGGGGTTCCTGCCCAGAGGCACTTGGTTCAGGGGCGTGGCAGGTTCTACGACCCAGGCCCGGATTCCTGAATTACCTGTTCGGCTGAACCAGCAGCAACCCACCTCTGGCGGGGGTGGAAACTGAACTGCCGAAAGTTTCCCTTTTGCGACTTACCTGAAATGGTGGGAGTTTCCTCCCTCATTCTGCCGTTTTTCTTGACCATTCTTGTCAAGACATTTAAACCACTCTTACATGGTGGGGTCCAGCCTGGGTCGGTCATCAGAGGACCAGAGGTTTAGTCCTGGAGCTTTTCCCTGCTCAGAATGTGCCTGGGGACACTGTCTGGGGAGAGGGAATCTCTGCAGCCATTGGGGGGGGGGGGTGAGGCTGGCACCCAGGCGTCCTGCCCCCAAATCCAGAGGGCTTTGTTGTCCATTGCTATTTTTAAAATGCATATAAGCATAACCAGCATAAGCCAGAGACGAATGCAGTAGCATCCAGTGGCCCTGGGAAAACAGGCCTCTTCCCCATGGGATTTCCCCTGTACGGTGACAAGAGCGGGTGGAGGGGGGGCAGGGGGGGCATTGTTTCCATGGCCATTGGCTCCGTTAAGCCCCAAGGGTGCCGCAGGGCTGGATCTGGAGCCGCAAGTGGTCTTGGGAAAAGTCCCAGGAGGTGCAATGCGCTCCTCAAATAACAACCAGAAACGCTCAAGTTGTGCCCACCCTCCCTGGGACACAGAGAAGGAACACGGGACTACAGGAGGAGATCCTTATGTTTGACTGCATTGCGAGGCCTCTTCACCAAACTCCCACTGGCATCTTTAAGCAGCCCAAACAATTAGGGCGGCTCCTCCCCATATTTCTTCCTCTGGGGGGGGGTGGGGGGTCCTGGCCTGTTTCCTTAGGTAGCATCCCCTCCTTCGCCCCACTACAGATGCCTCAATGGGGAGTGGGGGGGAATGGTAATGAAGGGCCTGAGGGGAGGCTCACTCCCCACTCACTGGCCCACCTTCTGGAAGAGCTACAGTTTCCAAATCACGGGACTCCCCAGGAGGAAGGCAGGGGAGGCAGAGTCCACCAAGTGTCCAACTCACTCTCCCCTCCTCCCCCTCCTCCTCCCCCCCCCCATCCCAGGCAGGGACACTTTTGCCGGATGAGCCAAGCCAACCTCCATGCCATTTAAGGCTGGGTGGCTGAGAATACCAAGACTGGCCCAGCCCGACCCACCTCCCAATGGCCCCCTTGTCATTTACCAGTGAGAGTCACAAGAGCTCCATCAGCCAAAGGCTGACCCCCCGTTTGTCCTTCTGCTCCCAACCTTAGATACGCCCAACCTCCAACTTGTCAGACGGGAGAAATACACCCGAGGAGGAGGAGCACGAGCGTCCGGAGAAAACAGGCTCCCCTTCAGTTTGGCCTTAATGAGCTTATTATTATTATACAACGTACCCCAGAGAGTGCAGTTTTAGGAGATAGGGATAGAAAACCGTATCGGATGGAAAATTAAAAAGCTTTCTAAAAACACCCTGAAGTCCCACTCTGTCAGCTGATTCCATCTTTTTCTTGAGGGATTGTTCCAGAACAAACTTTTCCCAGATTCAAAAACATGGTAGCAAAAGGAATCAACAAATAAACAACCAACCAGCCGAACCGAGGACACTAGATACAGTCAGCCCGGGGGGGGGGGGGTCCCTCTGTGCCGCTGTGGTCAAGGGGGGGTCTAGACGCAGCTCTCTCTCTCTGCTGCTGCTGCTGCTGCTGCTGCTGTCCCTCCCGCCTGCTGCTGCTCCCCGTTTGAATAGGTAATTGAAGTCGGCCCGTAATTACAGGATTAGACCCAGATGGCCTCTCCGGTTGTTGCAGGGGAAGAAGAAGAAGAAGCAGCAACAGCCCTGTTTGCCTTCATTTTATGATTGCTGTAAGGTCAGACTTTTCAAAATATACTTTCATCTGTTAAAGGGGTTCTTAAAATCCCCAGGGCGGATCTTCAGCAACTGAGGTTTTAAGCAATTTCAGCCTATCAGATCTCCCTTTGAATGTAATAAGTTGCTCGTTTTCTACTATTACATACAGGCACGTAGGTTAATTGCTACATTCCGCATATTTTCAAAATTGCCTTTTTTTTTAAAAAAATAGATGTTTTTATTAAATAGGCATAGGAATTAGACAAAACTGTCTTTTATTTCAGCATGAGCATCATCTAATCATTACTGCAACAATGCACAGGTGCTCAGCTAATGATAACAACAATCTCCCCAGGAACAGCAATCAGATGATCAACCGAGGGTCCGTCCCCCCCCCCCCCCCGCAGCAGAAACCCAGGACCAGGACCTGCCCTGAGCGTTGGCTCTGAAGGGCGCCTGGCAGCAGGAATCTCAACAAAAGGGACCCAGGGTGATGTTAAGGGGGGGAGGGGGGAGAGGGAGGGAGGGAGGGAGGGAGATTCAAAGCCAAAGATTAAACTTGAAAGGGGCAGGATTCCCGTTGCTCAAGTTAAGAGGGCCAAATGCTGAACACGGCAGAGAATATGCCCTTTGGCCACGCTGCAAAGAGGTTAAAGTGCTGAACAATCGGCATCGCTGCATGCGGGGGGGGGGGGGGGAGGGATGACTTTTATACCAAAAAAAACCCTAAG